TACCAACTGAAATGCAGGATGTAAGCCTTAAAACTGATTTAGCATTAAATTCTTTGGTGCTTTGGTTTTTTATATTGATGACTTAAAAATTCACTCTTTCTCATTTGCCTGGACAGACTAGTAAAGTATCTTCGGAACCTCGTGGACTTTTCTATTTAGATGCTCCGTCTGCATCTGTGTGTCTACTAATCCAATTAGAGAAGCCTGCAACAGAAGAAGGGGGAGTGACTTCTTCTGTTTATTCACGTAAAGAACCTGTATGTATGAAGAACTTAATTAGTGACATATTTCCAATGGTTAGAAGAAATTTTCCAAAATGTAAACGTATTGATCTATCATTTTTTTTTTATATTTAAATTTGCTAATGCAACTTTGTAGTCTCTAAGTGTATGCTGCATTATAATTACTGTATAATTTAAGAGCATTAATATTTCTCATTTCAAAGCAGCTAGCTCTCCTAAACTTCATATATTTATAAAAAAAAAAAAATTGAAATTATATGCTTTGTTGAGAAGCTGCTCCTAAACTTCATATATTTATACAAAAAAATTGAAATTATATGCTTAGTTGAGTTTATCAAAAAAAGGTATGAGATCAATTCCATATAAATTCTTTTTCTTATTATTATTTTTTTTAATGTGACCAAGCCATCGGGAAACTTTGGTCTCATTGGTGATTTGATGCTAATTTGTGTCAGGTTCTGGCTGAAAAAGAGTCTGAAGATGGTGTATTTCGAATGCTTCACAGTGATGTAACCTAGTTTTTTACCACCATTCTTATTGGCACTACGTACTAGTCTTTCCCATCATCACTTAACTGATCCAGTTCTGTGTGTCTATGTTTGACCTTGGTATGTGATTTATTTTTAGATTCCATTTTTGTCACTAGGGTGGTCAATATTGGAACAACTGCTTTAGTTACAGACACAGCAGCAGCAATATTTGGAGAAGCTGGTGTTAGTACAACAACTGGAATAGTGACTCTATGTATATAAGAATTCTATCCTCTTTATGTGCCCCACAAATCCAACCTCCTTGCCTACCTCTATTCGTGCTTGTATGTAACTCATTGTGAATTTGTAGTAAATTAGAGTAAAAGGCTTAAATTTGTTTCAGGATAAATCTCTTTAAGTTAGCTCCTGAGTTGTAGAGTTCACTGTTATAAAGTTTTGTACTCCCCTTGTAAACAATAAAAGAAGAATGAATAAGAAATCATGTATGAATAAGAAATCATGTTGAGTAACTCTAATAGACTGCAGAATAATCAAAAGGTGGGTGGTGTGGTTATTTGTCATTCTTTTTCCTTTTTCCCTCTACCTCTATGACAATGTGAAGGTGGTAATGGTAAATGAGCTGGATCTTTTGTGACCATAGGGTCTTTGAGTTCGAGATTTGGTATTTTAGGTGGCTCTAGGACTTTCTGTGACAGATACTTGCATTTCAACTCTTGCATAGTTGTCATTCTTTATTTTGTTTGTTTTATTTTATTTTTTGATATTGTGGGTATCCAAACCTTTGGGCATCAATCATTCTTTATACGGTAGATTAATTTGGATATATTTCTCTCTTTATATTATTGGTAAAGGAGTTGATATTTTACTAGAAAATCAAAACAATATTTGTATATTGTACATGACAAGCTTAGCTTATTTCCTTCAAGGGGGGTTTTCTGCTTTTACCGTTGTTTTTTTTTTTTTTTTTCCTTTCTGTGTTTTTTCTTCAACTCACTTATGAAATTATTAATTTGAAGCTATCCTACAGAGCAACAACAAATGATCTTGGATCTTCTTATACTTTTTGTTTCCTTTTCTCCTAAATGAATTTGTTTCCGATCTATATGTATCTGTGCACATTGAAAGGCATAGCATGTTTGTTAAATAAAGAAGAAAAAAATGAATTTCTTACTTTTTGCTATTGCAATTTTGAGTATTAGGTGATATGTTAAACCTAGGTATGCCTGGGTGATTATTGTAGATATTTTGTTTTCATGCAACAGAAAAGCTTGCCTTTTTCAAGAAAAAGAAAAAAGAAAAGAAAAGTGAACATAAAAGATAGAAAGAGATCATAATAATTGAATTTTCTCTGAATGATTTCTTACTTTTTGCCATTGCAATTTTGAGTATTAGGTGATATGTTAAACCCAGGTATGCCTGGGTGATTATTGTAGATATTTTGTTTTCATGCAACGGAAAAGCTTGCCTTTTTCAGGAAAAAAAAAAAAAGAAAAGAAAAGTGAACATAAAAGATAGAAAGAAATCAAAATCATTGAATTTTCTCTTAATGATCCTAGGTTGCTATTTTGCTTCTTACTGAGATCACTCCAAAATGTATAGCTGCTCACAATCCCACAGAGGTGGCTAGATTTGTTGTAAGTTTTTCATTTAAGTTTCCATTTTCTTCTTGAACTTGCAACTAAAACTTTGCTGAAAATCTTTAACTTTCTGTTTAAAACTCCATGGTCTATGTTGCTATTTAACTCTTTTCTACTTAGCTGATGAC